AGCAACTGCAAAAGCCCTGAAGTAGGAAACAGCTCAATGTGACTGTTTCTTCCATTTCCTAATGAGATTATTTACTAACATCATTATTCCTGAACAGTTGGAAATATACTTTCCCACATTTACCCAGGTTTCCGATGACATCCCTATTATTAGAATGTATTGAAGACTTTCATCATATTCTTATTAAAGGTAAGACAAGAAAAAGAACTTGAAGAGAAAGCTAAGGAACTTTTCATACACGTTTTTTAAAATGAACCTGGGGCGCCTGGGTGGCGCAGTCGGTTAAGCGTCCGACTTCAGCCAGGTCACGATCTCGCGGTCCGTGAGTTCGAGCCCCGCGTCGGGCTCTGGGCTGATGGCTCAGAGCCTGGAGCCTGTTTCCGATTCTGTGTCTCCCTCTCTCTCTGCCCCTCCCCCGTTCATGCTCTGTCTCTCTCTGTCCCAAAAAAAAAAAAAATAAACGTTGAAAAAAAAAATTTTTAAATGAACCAAAAAAATAATGGCTCAGTTTGTTTTTTATGTAACTGGCTAGATTCCCAGGGAGGAGTAATTAAAATACTACCATGTTTTCTATGGATTATGGCAGGTAGTTTTCCAAAGCCCTGATCACATGCAGGAAGCCAGACTCTTCTTAGGAGGTGGTCCTAGATGTACCACTAAACACAAGGGTCCAGGTGGGACTTAGCTGTGTTGTGCTCATAAAAAGGGAACCACTTAGGTTACTACCCCTCTTCTCTGGCCCCCAGAAACCTTTCAGATGTCATGACTGCTTTTATCAAATCCTGTTATGGAAAATTCACAGTGACTGTGTCTCCCAGACTCCTTGAAAAGCCCTTAATTTGCTTTGTGGATAACAGAAATTTGGTTTCTATCACAGCATGTGAAATACGATTTCAAAAACCAATTTCAAGAAACATTTTATATCAGAATATCTAATGGCAAAGTGTTGTGTTTGTTTTCCTTTGAATTGTCTCACTATACTGGAAAATTCAAGATTATTACTTCCTTCCCATTTTCCCCTTTCATATGATGAGCAGGGAAATGTTTCTATTTAAGATGAGAGAACCAAGTAGAAAGTTCAGCTCTCACTTGAGACACAAAACTGAAGGAAACCCAAGCTTTGAGAAAACCGATTGATTTCAAGCCAATTAGCTATGTCTGAGGAAAAAAACCAAAAACAAAAAATGATGTTTTTATTCTTATGCAACAGCCATCCTGACATCTATAGTTAGCATCCTATTAAAGTGAAGATCAGTCTTATTTAGTTTTGTCCTTAGCGAAAATTCTGCTGTACAGAGAAATCCTGGCATCTCTACTTCATGATATCAAAGACGTAATATCTTAAAATTTTACTATATGAATAAAAAGATTTGGAGTGTTGGCAGATGTGGTGGCTTTCAGGCAAAAACAACCCAAGATCCTGTGTGACTCACTAGATTCAGACCGTTTCCAATTTGATGGGTCACATCCGGACTAAGCTTGGCTCATCACATAGAAGAAGAGCAAACACAGACAAGCACTGGTGAGTAAACACCAGTAGAGTGCTGTGGCCCTTGATGTGGGCATTGACAAAACTTCAGGACAGTCACTGAAGTTCAAGGGACTGGTCCTAATCTGGCCCCACCATTCCCCCAAATCCCAGCGTCAAAGTCCCTGCTCCATTTCTCCTATCTTCCTTCTTTTCCATCAAGTAGTTGTTCTTGGTGACACACATTTAGGTTGTTCTCACACTTCAGGGTTTTAAGATCTTTCTCAATTCTCAGTTCATTCCAGGTGCCTTAGACCCACCCTCTTCTGTGGTGATATCCACTCTGGTCCAGTCACTTCCACCTCTGCTACGACAGACCTTTCTTATACCTTCCACCCCTTCCAGTGCCCTTCCCTATCAGAATCCATCCATGTATGGCTGCAGAAATCTCCCATAACTGACATTCCCACGGTTCTTCCTGATCAAGAGTCTAAGGTAGCTTCCTGTGGGCTGCCAGATGAAAGCCATACTGATCTACCTAGACCTCTCAACCCTCTGGAAATGTAAGCCCTTTCTATCTCACCATTCCAAGAAGCAGATGTTTTTCTTCAAGATCATACTGCCTGACATCATGTTCACTAGAATGTAAATATCCTGAGTGCAGGGACTTTTCTTCTGGCTTGTTCATTGCCATATTCCCAGTATAATGAATAAATAAATCTTCAGATTCTTCTCCTGAGAATCTGAAATTTCTATCACTTAGAATTCTATTCCCCTCTTTCTCCACTTCTTTTTCCTTGTCTCTTTTAAAATCAAGCTCAATAGCCAGACTTCAAGTTGTATTACAAAGCTGTAATCATCAAGACAGGATGGTACTGGCACAAAAACAGACACTCAGATCAATGGAACATAATAGACGACCAAGAAGTGGACCCACAAACGTATGGCCAACTAATTGTTGACAAAGCAGGAATGAATATCCAATGGAATACAGTCTCTTCAGCAAGTGGTGCTGGGAAAACTGGACAGCGACATGCAGAAAAATGAACCTCAACCACTTTCTTACACCATACACAAAAATAAACTCAAAATGGATGAAAGACCTAAATGTAAGACAGGAGGCCATCAGAATCCTCGAGGAGAAAGCAGGCAACAATCTCTTTGATCTTGGCCACAGCAACTTCTTATTCAACAAGTCTCTGGAGGCAAGGGAAACAAAAGCAAAAATGAACTATTGGGACCTCATCAAAATAAAAAGCCTCTGCACAGCGAAGGAAACAATCAGCAAAACTAAAAGGCAACCGACAGAATGAGAGAAGATATTTGCAAATGACGTATCAGATAAAGGGTTAGTATCCAAAATCTCTAAGAACTCATCAAACTCAACACCCAAAAAACAAATAATCCAGTGAAGAAATGGGCAAAAGACATGAATAGATAGTTTTCCAAAGACATCCAGATAGCCAACCAACACATGAAAAAATGCTCAACATCACTCATCATCAGGGAAATACAAAGCAAAACCACAATGAGATGCCACCTCACACCAGTCAGAATGGCTAACATTAACAACTCAGGCAACAACAGATGTTGGTGAGGATGTGGAGAAAGAGGATCTCTTTTGCACTGCTGGTGGGAATGCAAACTGGTGCAGCCACTCTGGAAAACAGTATGGAGGTTCCTCAAAAAATTAAAAATAGAATTACCCTACGACCCAGCAATTGCACTACACTACTAGATATTTATCCAAGGGATGCAGGTATGCTTTTTCGAAGGGGCACATGCACCCCAATGTTTAGAGCAGCACTATCAACAATAGCCAAAGTATGGAAAGAGCCCAAATGTCCATCGATGGATGAATGGATAAAGAAGAAGTGGTATATGTATACAATGGAGTATTATTCGGCAATCAAAAAGAATGAAATCTTGCCATTTGCAGCTATGTGGATGGAACTGGAGGGTATTATGCTAAGCGAAATGAGTCAGTCAGAGAAAGACAAATATCATATGACTTCACTCATATGAGGACTTTAAGACGCAGAACAGATGAACACAAGGGAAAGGAAGCAAATATAATATAAAACAGGGAGGGGGACAAAACAGAAGAGACTCTTAAATATGGAGAATAAACAGAGGCTTACTGGAGGGGTTGTGGGAGGGGGGATGGGCTAAATGGGTAAGGGACATTAAGGAATCTACTCCTGACATCATTGTTGTACTATATGCTAACTAACTTGGATGTAAATTTAAAAAATAAAATAACAAAGTAAATAAAAATTAAAAAAATAAAATCAAGCTCAATAGGAAGCTATGTTCCCATCCATATGCTTCAAAGCTCAATTGTTCCAGTAGTTCTCTCTCCATGTGCTGCTTCTGGATACTTAATGGATTGAGCCATTTGTTTGGGAGGTCTATAGCTATTTGGGGAGGGGCTATGCTTCATTTGTTTTTTCAGTTAGTCATTCAATAATTACTTATGGAATGTATTATACTGTGCACTAGACCTGCCCTAGGCTCTAAGCTACAGCAATGAACAAAACAGATAAGCATCCCCATCCGCATGGTGCTTATATCCTAGTCTGGAAGAAAAGACAATAAACAAGATAAGTAAAATTTAGAGTATATTACATAACCATAGGGGCTAAGGAAGGAGGAGAAAAAAGCAGGAAAGGTGAAGAGAAAGGATAAGTTTATTATGAAAGGTCTCTCTGAGATGGTGATATTGATGACAGTCAAAGATGTGAAAAGAAAGCATGCATACCTGTTGAGCAAGAGCATTTAAAGCAACCAGAATTGCATGTGCAAAGGCCCTGAGGGTGAGACAGTGCCTGGTCATGAGGTCAGTGTGACTGGAAGAGTGATGCAGGGGAGAATAATAAAAGATTGTCAAGTGGGTAACTGAGTTGCTTGCTTATAGGACCTTGCAGGTTCCAGCAAGGTTTTGCCTTATTCTAAGAGATCTGACTTATTTCTAGTCATTTGTATTATCTACACTCAGCACCATAAGGTAAATAAGAAATCATCAAGGGCCTTTAAAGTCCCTGGAAAGGGAGGATGTGGCCTTTTAGGCAGCACACACCTGCCTCTTGTGATGAGGTGCTGAGGCTACCCCAATGAGGTCAGGTCACAGCACAATCACACAACCAAATATAGGCAGACCTGGCTCTGTTGAAGAAAAGACTGTGTCAAGACCAGGTGAGATGGATCCAGGAGGAATAAATACTATCACGTGGGAGGTCTTCTCTATACCTTCTGGCCTTGGTGGATCAGGACCAGAGAATCTTTGCTGAGAGAACATCATCATGAGGGTTCACTGAGCCAATAGTCACCATGATCCATGAGCAGAATGCTAAACTCCACAAACATCTGAAGGGTGGCTCAAGATATAGCAGAGCCCAGACAAGCTCACCTTTGCTCAGCCTCTCTGAGTGTCCACTTCCTCATGTGCAAAATGGGGTCCATAATAGTACTTACTTCATAGGGTTGCTAGGTAAGATTCGATGAGCAAACAATACATAGCAGCCTATACTTCAAGAGCCTTCACTGTACTCCAGATTCTGCTCTTAGCACTTTGAATATAGCCACCCATTTAACCCTCACAACAATCCTCTGACGTAGATGTACTATTATCATCTGCATCAATTTCCTAGGGCTATCAACAACAAACTACCACAAACTTGGTGACTTAAAGCAATAGAAACTTATTCTCTCACAATTCTGGAAGGCAGAAGTCCAGAATCAAGGTGTCAACAGGGCCAAAGGCTCTGGAGGAGATTTCTTTCTTGCATCTTCCAGTTTCTGGTGGCTCCTGGTATTCTTTGGCTTGTGGCTACGTCTCTCCAATCACTGCCTGCACACGGCCTTTTCCCCTGTGTCTGTGTGTGCTACATTTCCCTCTCTTTTCTCTTATAGGACACCAGTGATTGGATGTAGGGCCCACCCTAAATCCAGAATGAACTCATCTCAAGATCCTTAATTACATTAGCAAAGACCCTTTTTCTAAATAAGCTCACAATTTACAGGTAGGTACTATTATCATCATTACTGTCACTCTACAGATGAGGAAAGTGAGTCACAGAGAAGCTAAGTAAGTTGCCCAAAGTTACACCGATGTAAATGTTGGGACCAGGAAGTAAGCACAGGTATTCTGGACCCAGAGGCCAGGCTTTTAACCACTGCCCTACCCTGCAGCACATGACTGAGGCTTAGTACAGTGCTTGGCACATAGTACTGGTGCTGTATGTGGGAGCCAGTCCCATTATCCAGAAGTGAAAAGTGACTGACTTTGAGGATTTGGCTATAAGAGTGGTCTGGACTGTTGTCACAGGTGAAAACAGACAATGTTTTACCTTTAAAATAGAGTCTTTGGTCCCTAGGAGTCAGAAGCTTGGAGCTAAGTAGCAGAGACTGAGATTGTAATTCCCCAAGAAGTTAAGGGGACTTGGTCAAAGTCATACATTTTGTTTGTTGGTTGGTTGGTTTGTTGGGGGGGCGGGGAGGGGCAGAGAGAGAGAGAGGAACCTGAAGCAGGCTCCAGGCTCTGAGCTGTGAGCACAGAGCCTGACATGGGGCTCTAACCCACAAACCATGAGATCATGACCTAAGCTAAAGTCAGACACTTAGCTGACTGAGCCACCCTGGTGCCCCTCAAATCATACATACAGACATGTGGCAAATGGCAGAGAGGGTTTCGATCCAAGTCTCTCATGTCCACTCCACTGCCTCAGCCATTGCTCTGCATTAGGGACATGTAGAAATTAATTACTCAGCTTCGTTCCTTGACTCAATGCAAAAGAACACACCCCAATTTCTGTTCAAATGGAAAGATCATATTTCATCTCACACCCCCCATATTTTCCCAATTAATAAATCCGGAGTCAAATTTGAGGACAAAGCTGTTTAATTTGGTGGGGTTTTTTCCTGTGTTTTTAAGTAAAGGAAGTCAGTACAATGTCAACAAATACGCAAATGCTAAAAATAAACTGAAAGGCCTCAATGATGACTAGTTAGTTAAAGGGCAAAAGGCAAAGGAGAGGGAGGGAAAACACGATTGACCCAGGCTTGGGAGACATGGGCAAGAAGACAGATCCAGAGAATAAGAGGGGAAGGGAGAGGTGGAGGATGGGAATGGAAAGAGAGGGAGAGATGATTAATTGAGTAAATTACCCATGCCCTGTCCTACTGATCCCTTGAACCACAGACTTCAGAGGAAGCTATTTGCTTCTATTTATGATCATTTATTCCTAATCTTTGAAATGTTAATTAGCTGGTTAATTTCAGCCCACAACTCTTTCGAAAAGGAGCACATTTATCTTAACTCGCAGTGGAAATGCGAGTAGGGGTGCTGAGCTCTTCCTGCAAATTGGATTCTACCACCCCCATGTTCCCCTCTCCAAGGCTCTTGCTGTGAGCTGTGCTCTTTTCAGATTAGCAGCAAGTAACTGACGTTGCATTTGGTGTGCCTGACTGGAAAAATTGTTAATGACTGCAAAAATCAAATGCCAATAGGGGCTCTATGTATGAGAAATAAGGAAGCAAAGGAGTCTCCTTCCTCGCTCTTCTCCTTACTTCCTCCCACCATACCATCTACCACCTCACCCACACCCCTTCTGGCCTCTCCTGAATTATTTTGCCCATAGACTGCATGGAGCACAATAAGTCTTTGTGGTCATCATGGAATCCCGTATTCAAGTATAGGGCTGGCAAGGAAGAGGGTTGTTTCCAGCAAAGTGACATCACTGAGACTGCAGACAGGAATTCCCTGTGTCCCAGCCAAAAAGTGTAACAATCTCATGTATTGATGGTCTTTGCACTAAGCACATTGCTTTCACTAAATGAATCCTCTTCCACAACTGAATTGAAGAAATGCATCCTGGGGACTCTGCCCTTTCTCAGAGCAGCTGCATTTGTCAATAAACTTTGGTTAGTTTCAGCCAGTGACAAAGACTATGAAAATCTGTACTGGCCATATATCACCAGAGTAGGGGGTCAGAGGCAAGGTGGAGTAAACTGACTCACTCAGGTTACCTAGATTTACAGTCCCCTGTGTTCTATACCTTACATTCATAAATTCTCTCATTTCTATCTCCACATCTTTGCACCCATGAGATATAAAAGTCAGAAGCAACATAAAACTATTTCTGCAGCAAAATATGCCATAAACAAGGTAAAAAGTTACAAAGTACGAAAAATGTTTGTAACAGCTATGAACCAGTTAGTTTCCTTAATATATAGAGTCATTAAAAATCATTAAGAATATGATCAACCTATCTAATAGAAAAATAAGCAAAAGCCATGAATAGGCACTTCAAAGAAATATATTCTCAATATATTAAATGTATTTTCAGTGTCCTTAATTAAAGAAATGCAAATGAAAAAATGGGATAACTTTTATCACTTGTCAGAATAGAAAAGTTTTTTTTATTTGATAACATTACTAAATGCTTATTAGAATGGGG